TTACACTTCACTTCATTCATGCCATCATCTCAAGAAGCAAGTTATCAATGTATGCAGAAGAACGAGGACAAAGGGCTATTTAGTAAGTTTATCAGTGAATATACTGCTTGGGCACACACCTTCCTCAGATTTTATTGCCAGCATTCAACAATTAGGCTCTTAACCATTAATGGTTCTGAGCATGTTGTCGGCCACCTGTTAAAATGTCCTAAGCCCAGAGAGCAAATTTTTCAGGAGAGAGAAAAAAACTGTTTCATTCTTTTAAAAATTGAATCTTCTTATGTATCTTTTTTGTTGCTTTTTTCAATATTTAGAATTTGAATTTCGACAAAATATTTCTTGAGCCCATGCAACCGACACCACAGATTAAGAAACCCAAATTTTAACAAAATTCAAAATTTTGAGCTCGGTACATTTGAACAACTGGCCGACAATATAGTTCCTTTTCAAAAGACAATCACTGACTGTAACTCTCAGGAAACATTGCTCAACAGCATGCATCCATGGAATTTTTTCACTGGTGTTTTATAATAATATAGTGTAGAGAGCAATGACTATCAAAAGTTGTTCAATCTAAAAATAATCCTTCACTTTCATATAGTTTTTATCATCGAACCTAAGATAATAGATGGGAATATTGACTGAAACTTCTCCAAATAAAGAATTCAAACAAGTACAACTGAGGGTGACAGTCCATCATCCCACAATGTTAGTGTTGTTCAAATATCTGTCCAAATAACAGATAAAAATGCATGTCATTTCGTGGCTGTCCGTCTCATTTTTTAAGCACAGAATCCCATAACATCTGCAAAAGAGACAGTGTAAAGACTAATTGAAGATTAAATTATGAATTTTCCTGAGTATTCACAGACACAGTCAGTACAGATTTTCTGCGTTGCGTATTGCTGCCAATTAAATATTCACAGCGAAAACATAAAAAAACAACCTACATTTCACAGTTGAAAATCATTAGTAACAGAAGGAAACCCCACTTCAAAGATCATCACCCATCAAATATAGAAGTGGAAATGACAAAGATAAATATTACCTGAAACTGAAAGCACACCGAAAAGATCAAATTCGACTTTTATTTATTCTGAAGCAAATCGTTAAAAACACTGTCAGAACTCGCCTCAAGCAATATTTCATAAAATTAGAATGGAAGACTGATTTTAAGTAAATCAGACAAGTTTGTATGAAATCATAGCAACAGTAATTCAACATTTTGCATTGGGGAAAAAAGGTAATCCATCTCCTCCATGCCTCTGTATGACCTGACATTCTATAGAAGTGAAAGACATGCATGATCTGTATAGGATCCATGCAAAAGGCACAAAGTCTGAAGGCGACAAAAATGCAAACAAGTAAAAAGCAGACTTTTTGTGATACCAGCATCAGAAAGCCTTTCATTGAGACAAACCACATAGAATGATTACTACTAATACCACAATTAACACAGTGCATTTCCTACTATTGTTTTCTTATATCAATTGAAAACTGATTTCTTCACCTGCAGTAAATGACGCCTTCATTTGCTAAGTCATAACAAGAGCTGCAGAAGCTACAATCCAAATATCACTTGTTTGTCAGCAGCATTTCCCACTTTCACAAGTTAACATTCACAAGGGAAAACAAAGGCCGAAAGTTTCACCAGCATGTTGTCGGAGTAATTCTCTATATCATTTAGATATCGGTGTAGCTCTCTAAACATAGACGTCCTTCAAAAGGTTTTTTCAGGAGAGACAAAAAAGCAAAAAAACAACCTATTTCTCTTCACTTTCACGCTCTGCATTTCAGTGTTTAGATGGCAGGGTTGAAGTGCATACTTAACTTCATGAAAAATTCACGAGGAAACCTTCAGATATGAAAAGAGTAAAAAAAAAAAAAAAAAAGAAAGAAAAGAGGAACCCAGAAAATTCCAGGCACACGTTTAGAGAACTACACAAACGATATATACACACCAGCAGGACTACACCGAGCTAAAAAGCTTACAAACTGCTATGACACAAGCAGGAGACCTGTTGATAGTAGATGTCTTTTTCATTCACAGTACCAAATTAACGAACAATATCTCCCTTCAGCAGGAATTTATTGATACAAATTTTTAGATGGAAAGGCACCATGTTTTAATAATATGACCATCCCCAATGACAGACAAAATTCAAATAAAGGCAAGATTCAATGACTTATATGCTACCATCTTCAGCACACAAATCTCATTTTGAGCATAATGAAAGCACTCAACAAAAAAACATGTCCATATTACTATACAACAAAACAAGTACACAAAGCAACTAGAGAACAAAAAAGGAAAAAAAAGAAATCATCATCGTCATCAATTCCTCAACACATGAATTAAACATTACCCGAACCACCATATTATAAATGGAATAAGTTACACATTTATTTGAAGAAAAAAAATGGAATTCTCACAGCTCAGATCCATAATGCTACAGGTATGTAAGGCAATGGTGAATAGCATGGTTGCTGATGTATGTTTTTACCTTGACGGGGACCCTGACACTAGCAAAGACACCACAGCACAGAAGCTAAACAAGTCACAAATTTTAACTCCAGTGAATATGTGAGGCATCATAGCGAAATCAGGCGTTGGTCAAAACAATGAAATCAAAGAAAATGTCAAATTTTATTGCATTTTTTGGTTTTGGTCTTGACACATTTTATATCCAGTTAAAATCACATTTCTGGTCAAATCAATCTGAAAAACTTTGATCAAAGGCACAAAAAAAATGTAAATTTGTAGTTTTCAGGCACACCCAAGCTTTAAAAGTCACCAAACTTTGGAGGCCATATTCTCACTAATTTTACATCGAATACCAGGTGCCCCACTTCCTTTAATTACAAATATCTCGACTTCTATTCAATATAAATGGGTATCTTTTAAACTAAAAGCAAGACAAATGAACAAGCTTTAAAGAATACCAGTAACTCCATATGACCAATCCTGACGAGCCCCTGATTCCACCAAGTCATGACACATATTTCTGTCTTCTATCATTGTGGTGAAAGACTCGTACAAAGCTCGAACTTCTGGACCATCACACAGCACCACAATGTCATGGATAAATAGGGGCCTAATTTCCAGCGCTTAAATCAAAATTCACAAGTAATAGTACACACTCGAAAAAGAATAAAGCTGTTAAATTGTATAAGCTAAAGAGAGTTCACAGCTAATGCCATTTAAATTGAAACAATAAGATCTGATCTCGCAGATGCATTCATTCACTCCAAAATCTCAGATATTAGCTCATGAGTACATACATCCTGCGTGACACTAAAAACATCCGACTACATTCAAACCTGGGTATATATAAAGGGGCACAAATATAAAGAAGAAGAGGGGGGTATTATCAGAGATCAGCATGAGTAAATAGCTACATTATTTCCACTGGTCAACTTAACGAACCAGTTTTCTATATATACCTGGCCCTGAGACAATCAACACAACAAAATGTACAGCTTCCTTTGACGTTAAATCAATAAATCAGGTACAACATGACATTTCCATGTATGAACAGCAAATTTTCCATTTAAATAATGCATATTATATTAACTTCCCGAACAAACACTTTAAAACTCATAACATTTGAGCAAATTTGAATTTAAATCTCATATATGTTTTTTGTGCATCCATCATTTGTAAGTACCTCAAAGTTTTAAGTTTTACTTTTGTAAAAGTAAAAAAATGTTTATGAAACACTTAAATAAGATTGCAACATTTATCATTCGTCCAATTTTGCATGTTCTCAACAAGAGCAGTATAGCCTTAAATATGAAACTGAAAAAGATATGAAGACATTTTAGGAGATCTACTATGTGATCAATGCATTACAACTCACTCCCTACAAGCCAAAGACAAAAATTCTTATCAATCACAATTTTTTTCAGGAGGGGAGGGGCACCTGAAAATGGCTACTGTGTGACAAAATTTTAGATTTTTTGGTCATTTAAACTTTTCATGAACTCAGACATCTCTGTTCATGAAACATTTTTTTCTTGGTAGCCTAAGTGTTTTATGGCGTTCGCAACTGCATAAGGTCATTTGAGCGTGCGGGACACATTAAATATTTTCTGTTGAATTTTGCCTGGGTGGCGGCCGAAGCCTACTCTTATCGATTTTAAGACAACCAAAGGATCTTTAACATGTGCAACTTGCACACGGGACCTCCGAGATTTTTCACCCATGTCCGAGAAGGTTAGGTGTAGATCTTTCCTACTAGAAGAACAGGGGTGTGGCTGAAAGACAGCAGTAAGAAGGAGCCAAGGAGTAGCAGTACAAAAGCTGCAGCAAGACTCAGGAGCCCAGAGGAGGGGGCGGGGGCAGAAAGTGGAGACAAAAGCAGAAGACAGAACATTGCTAGAGAGCAGGAAAGGAGGTGAAAGGAGACAATTTTAGAGAAGAGAATTTTTCAGTCGCTACCAGGATTCAAACCCGGAACCTTCGAATGAGAAGCGAACACCTTAACCTTTGGGCCACGAGAGCCCCCCTCATGAAACATTAGCAACAAATATCCCCAAGTGATCTCATTAAGTGCCTATTCAGGTCTAGTTTGTATTTTTTTCCAAGTGATTTTGTCATAAAATTGATATTTTAATGAAAAATACATTTGTGAGGCAGTATGGCGGAATCAGGTTCTCGTCAATTTTTGAGCATGTAGGGTCATTGGTATCATCTTAAAGCTTGTTCAATTGTCTTTATTTTGATGAAAAAAATATCCACTTATTTAGAATACAAGTCGAGATATTTGCGAAAGAAGGAGGTGGAGGTCACCTGTCTTCAGAGGTAAAATTAGTCAGAAAATGGCCGCCAAAGATTAGTTCTTAGCTTAAGAGTCCGTGGTAACTGAAAATTTACATTTTTTGTGCCTTTAATCAACGTTTTTCAGGAAAATTTCCACAGAAATGAGTTCTTTAATATGCATGAAAGGTGTTGAGCCAAAAAACAAAAATTTGAATAAAATTCATAAACCTGCAGAAAAATGCAAGTTTCTTTACTTTGATTATTTTGACGAGAGCCTGATTCCACCATGCTGCCTCACATTTGACCTTTTTTCACCGGTCTACTTTAGAGTGGTGGTATATGTATATTCTTCAACACGTTAAAAAATTTCTTCGTCTTTTTTGTATGGTTTATTACTGGATGAAATGAGTGTTATACCATTAGACAGCAAAAAATTGCATTTTACTAAAATACTGAAACTATGAATTTGAAAAATAAAAAACCAGAGTGCTATGTAAAAGGATAGATTAGATCTTAGCTGAATCTCAACATTATAAAGAAGGCAGTATATGAATATGGGCTATTTTTTTGTATAATTCAAAATGGCTGCCATCTCTATGCTAACCCAATGGCCCTAAAAGCTAAAACCTGGCATACCATCCTTCCCCTATATGTCTAATTCACCAGCAAAGATTCATTCAAATCTGCCCATAAATAACAATTTTGATTCTTCAGGTGCCAACCCCCCCCCCCCCCCCCCCCCCCCCCCCCCCCCACCCACACACACTTCTCAGAAAGCAGATTTCATAACAAGCCATCAAAATTTTGTTCATACAGGTTAGGATATGACTTCTGAAACAACTTGAGTCTCTGTTTCTTGTCCTTGAGGGATATTTTGGTATCATCCAGCACTGTGTTCATCAGGTCAATCAGAGACTCCTCTGTGCAGTCCTTGGACTGACGTTCAAACTCTTCCACAGATACGCGATTGCAAAAGCTGGACTCTGTAGAGAGAAATAAAAATGATGAGTAAAGACAAACAGGTTTCCCAATGAAACATTCCAAGCATATCAACCTAACAACGGTCACTGGGTGGAGGAAAAAATAAGACAAAAAGAATAGAAGGAAAGAAAAAAAGTGTTAGGACCTACCAGTGGAGCACTGCAATCACTGACAAAAGGTCAAAACAGTGAATAATTTTGTTTTGTTTTAGCAAGTGTTTAATGGCAATTGCAACACAATAATGTCATATAAGTGCAGAAGATTAGAGTTACAAGAGGCTAACAAACAAAAAAAAAGGAGGAGAGATTAGGCCGATAGATGTTGAAAACCACACCAGAGCACCCACCAACCATCCACATTGTGAATAATTTAAAGTTGGCTATTTATAGAAGCGGACAGGAGTTGAAATAATAAAAAAAACAACACAACACTAAGTAAATGAAGGGTTAAAAGCTGCCTAATAACATAAGGCTTATATCACAAGTCAACTTTACATTTTTGTAAAGTGCGTTGAAGATTACTGTACACCTCTATGTTAGGTTATGCTTTTTCTTCAAACTTCAGTCAAGACAGTCAACATAACTATAAATATTTTACAGCCACCATTGAGAGAACTAAGATTAGTGAAGATGCAAGATGCTTCAATACTGCCTATTAGGGACAAGGTGAGGGGGGGGAGTGAGACACAGAATCCCAGCATAAAGTTAGATACACTCGCGACTCACCACAACTGAGCAGCGGTTTCCCTGTCTTGAGCTCATGGAGTCTGCCCGCGACTTTTTTCCGCACTTCTCGAGGGATGATGAAGATGCGGTCGATGTTGTTCATGAGGAACTGGACTAGCTTTTGAGCCAGGTTTGCTGCCAACAGCTTGTGCTGGAATATCGAACTGCTTAGTAGACTTAGTATGGTGATCTCGTTGGATTCCTGAGAGATTGAGAAAAAGTATATATAAAAACTGAGATCTAAAACAGAAATAAACAATACAAACTATTGTGATAATGACAATCAGGTCAAAGAATATATGAAGAGGAAACGATATTTCTAAAAATGAGACAGAACATTTAAAAACAACTTTGCTCAGTATAGCACAAAGATTAAATGCTGTTTGTTTTCCTCCACTGGGCTCAACCACTGCTTTGTGCTATAATTGTGAGGAGAAATCAGGACAGGTATCTTTTGAGGACGGATATGTTATCCATTTAACATTCAGACAGGGCATATGTATTTACTTTACTGAGAATATTTATTGAATCCTGTGTAACAATTCTGACTATTTATACATAGACAGACATGACACATTTGACAGCTTATGGCTTAATCTCACTGGGAAATAAGCAGTGCTTCCACCAGCTGAAGCTGGAAAGTAAGGAAAATTGTGCCGGGGTTCTCAGCGTCCCGGAGGGGGTTCAGGGGGTGGAGCCCCCGAAGAAATTGAAATTTAGCGCTTTTAAAGGAGGGTTGAAAATGGCATTTGGGAGCCTGTTTGAAGAGGTTGCCAACAACCCATACTACTTATTTTTTTCACCAAGATTTTGTCTTGTTTGATTTCTTCACACATATCTTTCCATGGCTGACAATGTTTAAAAGCAGGTTCCCCTTCCATTGCTACTATAATTCAATTAATTTGTCATCGCACCATTGATAGAAGGCAAACCTGGGAATAATGAATAGATATGCACCGTCACAATAGTTACCCAGCGTAGGCTACACCCTAATTTTCCTCAATTTTCATGTCTGAATGTCGCATGTCACAACCTCGGAACACCACTTCGAATAATTCTTGATTTTAGTACATGTAGCTTTAGCACAAATTTCTGTCATCGCGGCCCTTATCACGTTCCCCTGTCGTAGAATCTTCGCACCGATAATTTCTCTAGACTCTAGATCTAGACAATAAATTTAGAAAAAGTTTCTTTCTGACAGAAATTTTCTAAGATCACAAGTCAATATACTAGATCAATGCCCAGATTTTCCAGCCGCGGCAACAATCCGAAGATAGACGGAATGAAGGAATGATAGAAGGGAGGAAAGTGGCACCAAAAGTTCGCCAGATTTTGATCAATCGGCAGGTAAAATATGAACTGCCAACCAACCCGCAATGAATGCATGGGGCATAGCAGATTAATGGCCGAAGGCAGGAAATGCGGAATCTGGCAGGTTTCTATACCGTAACAAACTATTGCCGAGAGAATTACCGTAAATATCCGTAACTTATACTATACAAGACGATACGAAGGCGAGTACGGATCTTTTGCTATGGAATTTCGGTAGTCCTACGCTGTTGCAGATTTTAACGGAGGGAGTTGATAATGATGGAGGAACAAGTACGGAACTGGAAGAAAGTACGGATTTCCGTAAAAATACGGAAGAGTGGAAGCACTGAATAAGAGAGGCTTCAGGTTTTCATTATAAAAAAAAAATAGTCAAAAGGGTGGATGTTTATGTTGTCATGTTAGCGAACACATAAGACACCCGCCTTTAGTTATTTCTAGACATCATTCCATTCCTCACGACATAGGAAGTTACCTATCGTTACACTTGTGCTGAGGATTTGCAGTGCAGTATGGAAGATAAGAATCTAAAAAAGATTGGACTAGTTGAACTCTGTTGTGGACACAAGTAACGAGATTTACTCGATGCGCGGGTTCTCGTGCGGAGGAACGCGGAGATCTCGTGCTGTGAGGGGATCCCACGTAGGATAGTTCACCAGAAGTGTATATAATCAGTCAATCACGGCCTTCAGTGGGACAATCGGACGGGAGAGAGTAGGGGACAGAGCCTTGGTCTACTCACAGCAGGAAATAAACGATGTACTACACTTATTGAAATTAAAATACTCATCATATGTGGTAAGAGTTTTCGCTTATCATTTTATAATGTCGTTTTAATTTGTGGTGTAGTGCTGTGTTCCGCAACAAACTCATTCAAGTTAGAACAACATTGTGTACTCTGATAAAAAGGCATGCATATGCTCTAAAAATAGAGTGTGCGTCTATCTCAGAGATGCCAACCAAACAAAACCAAAATGAGTATTGGGAAATATGAAAATGTGTATTTTCAGGGGAAAATGTGTATTCTCCACAACCGACCGACCAACTAGTAAAATGTTCAGGTTGTCCAGCAATATTTCCTGAAAAAAATTTACGAGCTCACCAGCTCGAAAAAGGGAGCACACACGCATACAATATACATGTATCCAGTCAACAACATGTCAGTGTTCAGTGTCGTACTGGGGTCTTGTTTGACTTAAGTATTTCAGTCTGTTATAATATTTTCCACTCATTATTATTATAAAAAATTAATCCTGTTTTGAGCATTCGGAAGGGCCTAGAACAAGAATTTCGACTATCAAGAACCAGTCTAGATGTCATGATTCATATTATGAACTGACAGACTAAAATTATTGCTCAAACTCAGAGAAGAGCAATAACATGAAAGGCTCGAGTAGACCCGTGCACTGTGAGAGTTGTGACAACTGTGGGAGGGCAAGATGCAGTGACACTGAAAATCTGCCCGTCTTGAACAAAAAGCTACAACAAACACTGTAGGTATAATTTACTATCACCCATCCAATGACACGCGAACATTTTATTTCAATTACACAGACTTGCAAAGTATGAAGGGTCCCGATTCCGCACACGGCCTGCACCAACGCGCGCTTTGCAGGGAGCTCTAATCAAATTTCTGAAATTTGCCTCCAAGTTTTTGCCCTCTGGTGTTGCTTTCACTACTCCCCCCCCCCCTCCTCGAGTGTATAAAAAAAAATCAATAATCTCCCCCCCCCCCGTAGTCCTAAATTTGGCAACGCCGTTACTCCCACCAAACACAGTCTTTGCTCACACGATGCCGCATTTATTTGCGATGCGAATGCGCGCTGGTTCATTGACCGGTCACGATGGCGAGCACGACAATCTAAAAATCGGACGACCCTTGTATTTTCTTTTCTTTTTTTCCTACAGTACAAGTAACAGCACAGAGACGGATTCGAGAAATTTTATTTGCACGGCAACACAGCGTTTACACTGCACAACCTGCATATCACAAATAAGATGCGTTATCAGTCTACTGCTTGCAAACTTCTCGGAGGTAACGAAAGCGAAAGTAGATCTTGATTTTTTCCCGATCAAGCCTCGGTGTCACATACACTTCCGCCTGCCGCCATAACCGCCTGTTCGCGTGAAAGTAAAACGTACTCTCGGAGGAGGAAAAGCTAAACGCATATTATCACTATCGCGACCGGCAAAAATTAACTTACTGACCTTATCGGACTTGGTTTTCAAATATTCCAGTTCCGCGATACTGATACTATTCTGACAAAAGAGGGGACTTGAGATAATTAGGTTCAATCGCCTAAACTGGATCTCGTATTTTTCGCATTCCAGGATGCGTAATTTTTCATGAAAAGTCGTATTGGCGTATTTGCGGCAAAAAATCGTACTAAAATACGTAAAATCGTACTGGTTGGCATCTCTGCTATCTGTTGATCGAGTCTACCAGTTTCACACATTGCTCAGTGCTGGTTTTTAATACTGTAGACTATTTTTAGAATAACCAAGGGAAGCTACAACCAAATCTTCCTCAGCTGTTTGACATTATTTTCATAAGGAATTTTATCCTATGGCCTCTACCATTTAGTAAAGGCAAATCAGCCTGGGCAAAGTCTGTCTAAATACACGAGCCTGAGAGAGTTCGAGTCAATTCCGACCTGAGGGTCAAGTCTAAGAGTATCGTCCGCTGACAGGGACAGCATGAACTTGAGCAGACGGTACAGCTCTTCCCTTGCAGCAGGCGGGAGCAGGATCATGTACAGCTGGAGGGCAGATAGCGCTGTGGTGGTGAAAGAGGAAAACAATAACAATTTGTTAGACCGTTAGTTCACAGCTACATAGATCTCATACATAAAAATCATTTCTATAATGCATGTTATTTGTCTTTACTTTTATGATGCAAATCAGTATTCTGTCTTTAAACTGCCATCAATATGCTCCACTTTATTTATAGCAACCATCCCCCCCCCCCCAGCACACAGGTGCCCACCATTCTCTCGATGATCGTCCAGTATGAGGTTGAGAATGGCGACATGGAGCTCCATGAATTTCTCCGGCAGCAGACAGTCCCCGAGGCTGGCGTAGTGCTTCACAATGATGTCCTTGGCCCACAGCTTGGCCTCCATTCCACGACGCTTGAACACCGGCTCTCCCAGCAAGTTCAGACCTACACGTACAGGAGGAAAGAACAAAAAAACCCAAAACCAACCAATAAATGTCAAACTTAGGAAAACAAGAGACTAATAAAATCTACAACTCACCATGTTTGGATTTCCACAAACAGGAGAAAAAAAAAAAGTAGAAGGGCAAAACTGATAAAAATCTAGACAGACCTGCCTAGTTGAGACTTTAAAAATTGGTAATGAAATGGGCAAAAATGAGTGATTTGACTTAAAAGTCTGTAATAGTATAATTTTCCTTCTACAAAGTAGGGGCCTAGGTGAAATCAAGTAGATCTAAACGTTGCTGAAGGACAGAATGACGTTCCTCTCCGGGAAAACCGAAGGAACCCTGAGTTCAAAGTGTGATAGCGAGGTGCACTTTGAAAAAAAACAAACAACTATTGCCGGTGTATTCGAAATACAAAACCAAGACGCACAGTGGAAACTTCAAGCCCGATATCAAAAGTCGTATAAAGAAAAATGATATTAAGCAGTAACCAGTCTATTGGAAACGAGCTTAACGAATGCTCATGATCGTCAAAGAATTATTTCGGTGCGATCTAGATGTAGAATTAATTATTCATAAAGTTGACTCGGTTTTTTGTAATTTCCACAGCACATTCATATTTTTTTAATGGGGTCAAATTCCTGGCATATTTTCATAATATTACGAAAAATTTGTAAATATGGGCAGGTCTGAAATCTAGCACATCAGCCCTCCTGACATGAACACAAACTGAGATCTCAGAGAAATTTGAATGATTGGAACATACATACGGTTCAGAATCCATCTCAACTTTGATCCTACTTTGCCAAAGACCACTACTATATCGTCACCCTTCTAGAAAAATGGCGTAACTCAGAGTTGTTCGAAAATGCAACTAGCCTTTGATGGGAGTGAAAAGATCATCATCAGCACACATAAGTCACCAGAAGTCAAATCTGGACGATTTTTTGTGACCCTTATAAATACCAGTCATTGACACATAATAATAATAATAAATAGCATTTATACTGCGCATGTCCATTTTCTAAAAGATGCTCAATGCGCATTATAACGAAAAAGACATTACGTCTTAAAAATTAATCGACAAGTGTGTACATAAAACAACGTATTATACATATAATATAAATGCATATGTGTAAAATTTTATATGAGAAAAATAGTCTCGCAGTGAGGTTGAAAATGTGTTCACTGAAAATAAAAAATACAATGCAATAAAAATTCACGAACGGTCACAATAAAGTTGAAATGTGAGTAACTAGAAACATTCATTAAAACATTAATTCTATACAGATAGAAAAACATTTCCATTCTCTCTCTCTCTCTCTCACATGCAGTACTCATACAAGGTCATAACACATGACACAAAAATGAGTTGGGAGTTCAGTTTCACGGCCCAATTTTGAAAACGGGGGACGACTAGCTAGTACTTGGGTGGACTTTGCCTTGACCAGTCAGTGAAGTAAATAAATAACTCTGAAAGATTAATGCTGATCAATATCAAAATCTTTTTGCGTTTATTTTGCATAAGCTGCGTGTTCTGACAGTTACTATCATCAGACCAACATCGGGGTCTCTGCATGGTAACAGAATCAGGGTTGGTGATTTTTTTTATTTTAAAAATGAAATTTAAAAAATTGATTTTTTAAATTTAAATCGGATTTTTAAAAATTAAAAAAAAAAAAAAAAAATGTCGACACAGTTTAGGATTTTTGGTTGCTAAAAGTATGTTCTTTTAGTGCAAAATGCATTGTCTTCATTTTAACTAATGATTAATTTAATGTTCGAAAATGCAACTAGCCTTTGATGGGTGTCAAAAGATGCATCAGCACACAGAAGTCACCAGAAGTCAAATCTGGACGATTTTTTTAAACCCTTATAAATACCAGTCATTGACACATGCAGTACTCATACAAGGTAGGTCATAACACATGACACAAAAATGAGTTGGGAGTTCAGTTTCACGGCCCAATTTTGAAAACGCGGGACGACTAGCTAGTACTTGGGTGGACTTTGCCTTGACAAGTCAGTGAAGTAAATAAATAACTCTGAAAGATTAATGCTGATCACTATCAAAATCTTTTTGCGTTTATTTTGCATAAGCTGCGTGTTTTGACAGTTACTATCATTAGACCAACATCGGGGAATCTGCATGGTAACAGAATTGAAAGTAAATCTTGATTTTCTTAATCAAGCCATCTTTTAAAAAATACAAGCTTTGTGCCCATAGTAAATCCATTAGTTTAGGCTTAGGTGCCTTTATTAGTATACCGGTAGAACAGTTCCAAAATCGGCAAATACAGTCGAACCTGCCCTGACGGCCACCTGTACAAACGGCCACTTTCCATTTCCCACCTTGCGTTTTTTCTATATAATTTAACTGTGTAAAACGGGCACCTGTCCAACGCGGCCACCATATTTTAATACACAACCCCTATCACACTAAGCAATAACACTTGTCTTAGACGGCCACCTTAGTGACTCTATTACGTTTTGTCATAAATTGTGCATTGACCCCTGGTGTTGTAGGCGAACCGTCATATTCAATCACCTGTTGTTGTTAGGTAGTCCCTTCAACCGATCATGTTGCGTAGGCCCCTCCCACTGTTGACCAATAGCTACCAATTTTCAGCGGCTGGTGAGGTAAGCGTGGGATCCCTCATAACCCATAAGCTCCGCCCAGAATTCATACACAAATCGTAAGTGAGATGAGTGGTCACTGTTTACCCTGTCTGTAACAAAGTAACAAAGGACGTCAACATGAACTTGTGACAGAAGCGTCGCTCGTTCTCCGAGTGGTGGCGACCCGTGTGTTTGTTTTAACATGGCCCTCGGTCTTCCTCGTCTGATACATTTCGTTTTATTGTCACCCTTGTGCAAAATCAGCAACAAAATACAAATTACAAACAAAATACAAACCACCACCACCAAAAACAAAAACAGCAACAATGCGACTACTTTCGATTGGGACCTCGAATGGGAGTGGTTCATTTTCTTCATCTTGATCAGTCCTGCCTAAGACGGCCACCTGTCTTATACGGCCACTTTTCTCCTTGACAATGGGTGGCCGTCTTACACAGGTTTGACTGTATTAGTAAAATTGGTAGCAACAGGCAGTCCTAAGCAGCCCATCTGACAACAAAAAAAAAAAAAGTTAATTCGCTAACATAGAAAATCTCACAAAGCTTCTAAACTGACCGTTGGGCAGGCATTCAATGCAGTCCATGGCCGTCTGTAGCAAGGGGTCGGAGGGTGCGTCGAGACTGCTAGGCATGAGGGGCAGGTGCCAGTTACGGGCCATGATATTGGAGATGATGAGGTGGTCGCGCTGCTGCTGACGACTGCGCTGCTTTTCCTCGCTCAGGATCCCATCCAGGAAGGTCAGGTCGACCAGCGTCAGCAGCTGGGTCAAGGCCACCTCCTTCCAGGTCTCCTCCACCTCTGTTGCGAAAGGATGGGGGAGTAGAAAGAGCTGCTGAGTGCGGAGTTGCAGTTTATGGAGATCAGCTCGATAAAAAACACATTCCACCAGGAACAGAAGGGGCAACAGTAACACAGTTAAGACTCCTAATTCTAGAGAACCTATACAATTAATAAGTTACCACTTTAGGCACGTACTGGATACACTTGTCCCACCAGAAACAGACCAAAGGCAATGTTGTGGCTCATTTTGAACCAACATACACAAACCAGAAACACAAGACTGAACACTTCACAGACTACATGTCGTTTTTTAATCTTTTTAAGGCTCATAAAAAAGGAAATATATTGGTAAAACCTGTATGGATAACGAAGTTTAGCTTCTTCAAACGCACGAATGACCAGAATTTGTGTCTTCAAAGAATTAATAAAATCACATATGCTTATATCAATATGATGACAATGTGAGAATACACACCTGAAAAGTCAAGTTTAACAATAATAGAATGTATACATCTATAATTTATGCAAAACAATAATTAAAAAAGAAAACATCCAACAAATATAGAACATCAGACGTCATTTGTCATTTAATTATAACAACAAACATGCATGCATTTAAGGATTGAAAATACCAAGTGAATCAGGCACAAAGCTACCTGCAGAGGACAAGGTTCTCATTGGCTTTTCGAGAATGACAGAGTCCACATGAGAGCCACCGGCTGTGACAGAAGAAGCTGCACCAGAACTTTGCTGACCCAGATTGTTTTCATGGATTTCCTGTAAGGGTTTGCAGCATGGCGATAGAGTTGGCATAGCTGGTTCTTCCTCTGGATCAAGACCATGATCTGATATTCTGAACGAGATGAGACAAGACATACTTTATTGCCGCACCAACTTTTGAGTCATAAAATATCAATGCTTAGCATTAAATCAATAGGATCATATAAAAATGAAAAATTATAAACCCAAAGATGCTTTTTCAAACACTAAAGCACACCACATCCACAAAAAGTCACCCACTTTTTCTGTCTTATTCACAGCTAAATTCGAGGATCTGTAAATTCATGGATATTCACAGAGCATGTATGACAGGAAATGTGACAAAAACTACCAAGTTCGAAAAGTTGTTGGCAAAATGACTTCCTATACCTCTCTCAGCTTGCTTTTAGATCAGTTGGACACCTGCTACTCACTCAAAATTGTTCTCTCCATATTGTCATGTTTACAAACCCAAAAAAAGCATTGCGCAAGCACAGGCATGCACTGTCTGGATATGAGTTGGAGAGAATATAATTATAATATACTAAATTCTAATACAATCGTCAGTGCTCTAATGGAACCTTGCTAACTTGAATTATGGTGAAAATCATTTCTTCACACCAAAAGATTTCTGATACCTTGATGCACAATGTGCATAAAATATTAAATCCAGATTCAAAATACAAACCCTTCAGAACACTGGTTAATTGCCATAGGGGAGTCAACCTCATTATCTTCCTCCATGTGGTCACTTACTTTATCGATTTCACTGGATGTTTTGAGGGACAAAGAAATTTTCACCCACAGAAAACGTACAATAGTTTGCTAGCCAGCCAACAGGACACAATAAAACGACCAAGAGCATGTTGAACATGTGCATTAAAAGACAAATAAAATATAGTGAGGATAGAACGGATCAACCAAAGCCGCATGCTGCTTTGTGCCAACCTGATTAACACCTTAGCATGGTTCAATGGAGCAGCGCTAGAGATGGAGAACCTAGCTAACCAAAGACGGTTTTGTCACTAACTCAGACTGAAAAAAAAAGCGCTCTGGTAAAATACAATATTTCGTTGCAGGCTTTTGTCTTAGGCCCATCACATTACACAGGCAGAATTTAATTGACTTACTTACTGATGAACATATGTTACATAGTTTTTTTGTCTCTTGTATAAAATTTTAAAATTCAAGTTAATGAGGTTCCAACAGAGCGCTGACGATACAGAGAAATTAATGGAAGACTTATCCAATATATGTTTTTGGAAAAACTGTAACTGCACCTCATTTTCTCCAAACATGGTGTTAGTTTGTGGAGAGCTTCATTAGAAGTTTCTGTGAAGCTGACTTCTTCCTCCTCCTCTTCTTCCTCCTCCTCAGCATCCTCCTGAAAATTTGGACCAACAACATACTCTCCAAGAAATTGATACAATTTACTGCTACTGTCTTCAAAGTTGGACGGTTTGTCAGATTTCTGTTTTTCCACAGCGGACTGAAACACTTTTCTGTGCATCAGCAACTGGCATACCTATGGAAGGAAAGAGAAAAACCACATCAACTAACACCAATCAATAAACTGCATGTATTATAAATTAATGTCTTAGCACTGTTAAAAAACTAATCAAACCAAGCCTTGGATGTGTAACAGCTATATATATCCTAAGCATTACAACCATCTTTTTTTGACTTAATAAAATATAAAAAATTCATGTTTCCAAACAAGCAAACTTTGTTTTGGTAAAAGTATGCTTGAATTTTTATTGGTAAAAATTTATAGTATAGAATATAATCCCATGAGGGCTTATAAGGAGACAGGGAGCACTTAATTTATTATTACTTTAACATGCTCCTAGCTTCTTAGAAAGCATTATTAAAAACTGTTTGGCAGTCTACACTAGATTGACTGATGGTACACACAGCAGGGTGACAATGATGATTTACCTTCACAGCCTTCTCTCGAGTCAGATCAGCTGAGAATGTCTCCCTGTCACTGAGGAGGAAGTGCAAAACAACATCAACAGCATCAGTTCCTGTGAAACATGATTCGATGTGCCTCATTTTGTAACGTCTTCTCTTCAACTCCACTTTTGCTCTCAGATGTTCAATGAGGGCTTTCCATATCTTGGTGGCTTTGAATGGACCTGGAAATATAAGAGATGAAAACCACAAAAACAGGTTGGAGAGATTCAACAAAAATTTACCTACCCATGTCTATATTGACTCAGAACCAAATTATAGCATGAGAGTTGCAAGCACCACAAACATACTGGATCAAGAAACTGCTAAGGGGATTATTTTGGCTATGATTATAATCATATTTCCCATAACTTTGGAAGTTTTTATTTCATTTTTAATCGAAGTCTTGCATAAAACTTAAACCTTAGTTTTAGATTTTGATAGGAATTATAGAAAGGAAAATTTCCATCTTTTCGAAAGAGGCACTTGTCCTGAAAAGTGAATTCTTTCCATTGACAAACTCAAAAGAAATTGAGTGGATAATGTAAGAGAATGTGTGACAAGGTAGTTGATGATGTAATGACTAGTTGAATTAAATTTTGATATAGCTGGTTTCATCAAGCCAAAGCATGTTACATCTTAATTGTGACAACAGTACAACGCAGCCCAAGTATGGGCTCTAGAGTTTGCAGTACAATATGAAGGTAGTGCCTTATAATGGGAAGCGCCAGTGCAAAAACGAAATGGGAATAAAAATTAAGTGATCACTTGCAATGAGAGCTTGCACATGGATTTGCTACCTTTCTTAGAATCACATGCAGTAGTGTGTCATGCTGATCAGAAACTGTACGTTTTTAAAAACATAGCATAGCCAAACTGTGTCTATTAACACCAAACTGCTGTGAAAGTATCTAAGTCTTTAAAAAATCTTCCAGTTTGACATGTTTTATTCAAAATTTTCCGGATTCAGGTAGTTATGAGAGTTAGAGTTCCTAACTAAGGCTGGACAGGTATTGGTATCCAATACCGGAACTCCCCGTACTACTGTAGACGAGTCAGTTACAGGCACCAGGCCTTCTCACGTGGGGTGTGTGTGTGAGAATAGCGAGACATGGGTTATTCTCCCGCGGGGTGAGAATAGCAAGACATAGATCATATCTAGATTTATATTAGATCTTTTGTAAATTTAGATATATCTAACCTAGGCTTAAATTTCTAGACCTAATCTAGAGATCTACTTAAATTGTAAGTCTCTAGATTCTAGATTAATCACAGTGAGTAGATTTAGATCTTGCATTTACATCGGCAATTGTTTACTTTCTCGCGTTTAATTCCAGACGCACCTTGAGATCTAGAGGAACTCTCTATGCATCCCCAACTGGATATATATTCAAAACTTTATGCTGGAAGAGTTTAAAAAAATACGTAAACCACAGCAATTTCATCATTTGTAGGTAGTAACATACAGTGGAAACCTGATATAACAGGGATGGTGGGAGTACAGAAAAAGTCCTGTTATATCCGATCCCTGTTAAATCAAAAATGCAAGGAAAGTAAGCATTTGTGGACTAATCCAGCGGTACTTATTCATTGGTAGTTTCCCTTGCCACAAGTACCCACGAACAGGTGTTTTGGACCAACTTTCTCCTTGCCTCCTTAAACCACATCAGAAGAGCTTGGTCCACAGCAAGGGGTTTAGGGCTACTGGTTGGTCCTACTTCTTTTCTTTCCTTCTTTTGTTTCTATCTGTCTTACTTTTTCCTAGCACTAAATGACCATTTTTATTGTGTTGATGTGTTTCTCTTGTCTTAATCAAACAAACAAACAAGTTCACAACACAAATTTTATTAGATCTTAGAACTAAAACAAGCTTTGGTAACTTTCTTCTCGTCCGGCCGATAATGGGGCAACACCAGCTAAAATAGCTGCCAGTTACCGGCCACCACACTCAAACGGTGCGAATTTTATTTTCAACCAGCAGACGCAAATAGGCAAGTCAGGAATGATATCAAAATGACTTTCGTTTTCACAAGAGGGCTTCCTGTCGATAATAGGATTGCTCAAAGCTTATTGGTTGACACACCTGGCCTTGTTCGGGGAGGATAACAGTGGCGGCTGAAGTGAGGTGGGGGTTCTGATAACTTTCGATCTCAGCCAAAAAGCACAGCAATGGCGCTCCTGTGACGGCGGAAAGGTAGCAGGATAAACAAAGACTGCCCGAGTGCAACAACTGTTGACCAATTGGAACAATTGTTGCATAGGTAAGATTTTGTCACTAAAAGTACCGCATGCGCTGAGAGCGGCTGATGAGGCGGCGGCCGGTAAGAGGCAACGCACTCTAGAGCTAGAGATTTGTTAAAATCATGTCTGAATATTCAGATCTCAATTGTTTTAGGGGCAATGTTCCCGGACTATACTTCATTAGAAAATTAAAATGCCTTCAAAAGGTTTTTTCTAGATCTGAAAAATTATTTTGCGTTTAGTCACCCCTAAAACAAAAAGTAAACGAAGTGATTATTCGAACTCGAGTCCAAATATGAAAAATTGTTATTCGGACTCTGATTCTTGTCCAGCATGACATCACTTCCGACTTCCTGTGACTCGTGAATCCGGCTTCCCGTCCTGCCTCACTCGTGACTCGCCTCAGGCTGGGTAGAGACCGGGATCACTTCGGGCAAAAAGGCGTTTTGTGCAGGAGCCGAGTTTTAATCTTATGATGAATTTGAGGCCGGCCTGAAAAGTTATAGCGCTTCTAATAAATGTTTATTTGTCAAGAGGTCATCAGAAGAAATTAATGTAAGATGGCTCGTTAGCGTGTGTCGGGGTCGGATGGGCGGCCTGCACACGTATGGCTGTGTGCGTGTCGGGGAGGGTGGTGGGGGGGCACTATCAGTCCGGGCGTTGAACGTCGCATACGCGTCAGTCTTTTTCCCCCCGGCAACAGATCATTATTACAATAATAAGCTAGTCTTGACGTACATCTACGTAATGAATTGTGCGTTGGTCTATGGAATCAAAAGTTGCCGTATGCTCCGCTCTACACAGCAACACAACTTTTTTTTGGTAAACAATCGATATGACACAGGCTTGTGTATTTGAACGAATCGGTCTTTTTTTTTTTTACACAGGTCAATAATATGCAGGTGCCAGGTGGTCTGCTAATCTTCAACTTTACCTTTTTCTACAACAAAGAAAGTGGGAAACGTGGGGGGGGGGGGGGGGGGGGCGTATCAATGAGGCGGCGGGCATTGGATCGGCAGATAAGGTGTGGGGGAAACTAAAAAATGGCGGAAAATTGAAGCACTGAACGTTAGATCTATAGAACGAAGACACTTCCTTTTTCCGGGGCCACCTCTATTCTCACCCGGGATGAGAATAGTGCAGGCGAGTCTTTTGGCTATTCTCACCCGGTGCGCGTTCACCGTTATAGATCCGATCTAGGCCAACAAATTTTGCGTTCACCCTAAACCACACTGTGGTGATAACAGAAAAATTGTAGAATTCTGTGCCGTGAACAAACGTTCCATTACAACTGTAGCCTACTAAAAGCGTACAATTTTGTCTGTGGGCAGTGGAGACAGAGAAAGAGAGAGAGAGAGAGGAGTAGCGCGAGAACTTCCGGTCAAAACAAAATGGGGACCCGCGTAGTTCGGCTCGATTCGAAAAGTTAAAAAGCCGTAGCATCTTTGTAGACAACCAAATTAATTTACTTGTGTTTTAACATCATTTTTTAACTTTGTTTTGGTCAATTTGATCGTCCACACCGATAGACAGTATTCAGAAAGAGACAGAGAGAGAGAGAGAGAGAGGGGAGGAGTAGATCTTGCGAGAGCGTAATTTTTTCTTGGCTTTTATCAATTTGATCATCCACACCGATAGACAGTATTCCAAAATGAGGAAAAGCAGGTCTTGTTTCGCACCGGGTGAGAATAGCCTACGCTGGCAAGTCTCACCCGGGGTGAGAGGTAGATATCTAGATCGTTTTTCTATTCTCACCCCGGATGAGAATAGCCACTTCCTTTTTCCGGACCCGAGTCCGAATAAAATTTTTTTATATTCGGACTCGAGCCCGAATAAGAATTTTTAAAATTCAGACTCGAGTCCGAATATGAAAAAATGTTATTCAGACTCGAGTCCGAATAACAACGGCCAAAAGTAAAATCCTTCATGTAAGTAAAAAAAAATCCCTCCACGCCCCCCACCCCCCTTTCCCACCTTATACTATTTGAGTTATACACACACACACACACGTGCCACTCCATTCGCAAATAGCCAACAAATCTCGAGAACGGAAACTGTTCAGAGTGTGCGTATAGTATAGTAGATCTAGATCTAGATATATCTAGATCTAGATCTAGATCTAGTAGTGGTGTATATAAAACAATGAATGGTCCTACCGACCGGTCCCACATCCCGCTCACTAGCGTCGGCCTGCAAGAGGTCAGGGGGGAGTCCTCGCCTCAAGCCCACACCGGGGTGGGAGGGTGAGAATAGCGAGACATGGTCATGGGTTTATTCTCACCCGGGGTGAGAATAGTGAATGACAGAATAGTACGACAGGATTCATGATTCATGATGATTATGATGATGATGGCCGGGGTGAGAATAAAGGTGGCCTTTAGATACGAATAAGACACAAACCTAGAGGTCCTTTTGATTCACGAAACGGAATGGCCCTTTCAAATCGACCGGGTTGGGGAGACTGAGGATCAGACGTTCCTAAAGCATTGGCCATCGCACCGCTATGATGTCAAATGTCAAGACATGTTTTGAAACACCCTCTCTTCGATCTAGTGGTTTCACGGCCTGCATTAAGTATTGCCAGATTTACCAGGTGTTTGCTATGTTGTGGGTCAAATACATGCGAAACCCAAGGACCGGTATATAATCCTTGGCGAAATCCTATCTCATACAACTAGGCCTAAAAGAACAAACACATAAAAGTTTCAAAACCCATCGACTCAGTTGTTGGTATTTAGATCTACGTCGTGTAAATCAATAATGAACAAAACTGAACAGCTTAAGAAATCTGAAGCTTTTAAAGTCCACACAATTTCCGACCACGTCCATATACTGTTGCATATATCCATATCATCTACTTAAAGAAACAAGAAAAGTACATCCGTCAAAATTAGAAAACTTTAAAAACCAACACCAGTTCATCATGGTGGCTTCATGACTTGGATCTAATGATTTTGTATCTTTTGCAAAAACCATAAAAGTAGATATCATAGGTAGCCTATATCACAAGGTATAGTCTATTAACATTAAAGTGCGCCCCTCCCCCCACCCATCCCTCAAGCTGAAGTATCACAAAAGCCATGGCCTTATTGGCAAATAATTTTCATTCTTTCTCAGATTGGAAGAGCTACTCATCAAAACAAACATGGCTGCGTCTTTAGTCCGCACCTGTGTCCTTACAACAAGGCGGACGTTACAGTTTTTGAGACCAATTTCGTTTGCCTTGCAAGAGAGCCATGGTAAGTTTAATCCGTGTGATAATTTCTGTACTGTTAAGTTTAAGCTGTTTCACATGTTCATACTGTTTCGTGAAGCCCAAGTTGACTTGCCTGTGTCAAAACTCAATGACAATGATGATTTTACGATTGATTTGATTGATCACATTTAATGTCATTATTCATTATGATGACAACGGTTCAATCAATGAAATGATTAATAATCCGAAATTTCTAGATCTATCTAGAATCTAGACTCTAGATCTAAATCTACATCGAGTCTAGATCCAGATTTAGAAATGGAAGTGGCTATCCTCACCCCAGGTGAGAATAAAAATACGATCGACCTCTCACCCGGGATGAGAATAGTGCAGGCGAGTCTTTTGGCTATTCTCACCCGGTGCGCGTTCACCGTTATAGCCTAGATCTAGGCCAACAAATTTTGCGTTCACCCTAAACCACAGAATTCTACACTGTGATAACAGAAAAATTGTAGAATTCTGTGCCGTGAACAAACGTTCCATTACAACTGTAGCCTAGAATCTACTTAAAGTAAGTTAAAGCGTACAATTCGGTGGGCAGTGGAGAGAGAGAGAAAGAAAGAGAGAGAGAGAGGAGTAGCGCGAGAACTTCCGGTCAAAACAAAATGGCGACCCGCGTAGTTCGGCTCGATTCGAAAAGTTAAATAGCCGTAGCATCTTTGTAGACAACCAAATTAATTTACTGTTGTGTTTTAACATCATTTTTTTAACTTTGTTTTGGTCAATTTGAGCGTCCACACCGATAGACAGTATTCAGAAAGAGAGAGAGAGAGAGGGGAGGAGTAGATCTTGCGAGAACTTCCGGGCAAAACAAAATGGCGACCCGCGTAGTTCGGCTCGATTCGAACAGTGAAATAGCCATAGCATCTTTGAAGACGATCAAATTAGCTTACTTTTGTGCTATGACGTAATTTTTTCTTGGCTTTTATCAATTTGATCATCCACACTGACAGACAGTATTCCAAAATGAGGAAAAGCAGGTCTTGTTTCGCACTGGGTGAGAATAGCCTACGCTGGCAAGTCTCACCCGGGGTGAGAGGTAGATCATTTTTCTATTCTCACCCCGGATGAGAATAGCCACTTCCAGATTTGCCAGCGTTGGCTATTCCCCCCCGGTGCGAAACAAGACCTATTTTTCCTAAGTCTAAGTGACCTAAGGCCGGCTCTAGATCTCTTCTCTAGATCTAGATCTTTTTCTAATTTCTCCGAATGTTCGGGAAAATAAACTTGAACTCTATTTCTCCGAACGATTTCCATTCTCGAGATTTGTTGAATATAATTTTGCGAATGGAGTTGCCCGTGTGTGTGTGTGAGTGAGTATGCATGCGTGTGTGTGTGTGTGTGTGTGTGTGTGTGTGCTGCGCGCGTGTGTGTGTGTGTGCTGCGCGCGTGTGTGTGTGTATAAAAGTGGGGGTGGGGGCGTGGAGGGATTTTCTTTTTGTTTACATGAAGGATTTTTGTTTTTGCTGGAAGGGAGTGTATATTTACAGTATACAGATCCGGTAACCGGGAACAAAGTCACAAAGTATACAGACCCGGTAGAGGAACTCTTTTGTGATTTCGGAGAGTTTCAGCGCCCTCTTGGCTCAGGGTAGACCTAGGTTCTTCTAGATCTAGATCTAGGCAGACATAAATCTTTGATCTAGTTTCTCAGCTAGCCTAGATCTAGATCTAAATGAAGATTGCGGATGTCTTTTCGATGAAGGATCGCTTTTCCTCCGTTTTGGAGTTGGAGGAATCACGATTTGAAGTAAAGAACAATGTCATAATTTCAATCGAGCAGTCACCCTCTTTGTTTCTCTGCCCCCCCTCCCCCCTTCTCTCTCTCTCTCTCTCTCTCTCTCTCTCTCTCTCTCTCTCTCTCTCTCTCTCTCTCTCTCTCTCTCTCTCTCTCCCTGTGTGTGTGTATCGCTCGCCTTCTTTTTTTCTTTGTTTGTCTCTGTCTTTCTTTGTCCCCACCTATTTCCAACTCTATCTTTCTCTCGTTCCCTCCTGCCAACTGGGGCATGTCACATTTTGCTAGCACCTCTCTCTCTCTCTCTCTCTCTCTCTCTCTCTCTCTCTCTCTCTCTCTCTCTCTCTCTCTCCCCCCTCTCTCTCTCTCTCTCTCTCTCTCTCTCTCCTCTCTCTCTCTCTCTCTCTCTCTCTCTCTCTCTCTCTCTCTCTCTCTCTCTCTCTCTCTCTCTCTCTCTCTCTCTCTCTCTTTCTTCCCCCCCCCCCCCCTGGTGAGAATAGAGGTGGACTTTAGAAATTTAAAATTTAGAACTAAAATCTAGATTTAGTGTATGTGTATAGATCATCTAGATCTAGTAAAAGTATACTTTAAGTCAATTTAGTGTAGGCTATAGTGTAACTTATAGAGTGTAGTATAAGTAGGCCTATCCTATAGATCTAATGTTTTATAATATTAATGGATCTAATATTAACTCTGGGACGTGTTCTGCAGAGGGCCGGCACGTCTTAGTGTGATACGGTCCACTGCCACTGATCAAACTAGATGTATACAACAAGAGTTATGGTTAGGGCAGGGTTGTTGTTGCTCAGCCAGCCCTCTGCCTGTGGGGGGAACTCCTTCCTTGTCCTGCGTCTGTCTGTGCCGAGATGCAAGTCTTATTTATAACCCTAATCAGTAGGCCTAAAGTAAGTAAGTTCGGTAAATTTTTACTTTCACTCCCGCATACAGATACACTTCTACTTCTTCGGGGGTCAAACTGCAGTAGTACTGTTTGCTGCAGATCACACATAAAGCCACTAAAACTGTCGCAAGTCAATTATTTTCCAAGTAATTTCAAACCTAACTGTAAAATATCAAATTATGTGTTAAAACAAGGGGGCAAGCCCCCTTGTAATCTAGCGCAATGCCCACCGAGCGCGTTTTGATCTGCCGATTTTCGGCGCCCGCTGCAGGGGGTGTTTCGTGGGACAAACTAATGTAATGGTTGTCGTCTTCAACTCGCTCTCATGCCGCTTCTCGTGAATGGAATATGAATTAAACTTGGCAGCCAATCAGAAAAGAGGTCAATCACGTAGTATGCAGATTGACAAATTTGTACCCATCCAATAAGCAGTCGGAAACGTTTGCGAAAGTGGTCGATGTGGTGCACTTTGAAGACTTTTTGGATCTGTGAGTTGTCGAACTGACTGATAAGTTGTAGACCATTTTTCTCTTTATTCCCTTAAAACTTCATGCTTATGTATTTAGAGGTTTTTGTGTAATCTTTAACGATGTGGGAGTAACTAAGGGTAAAGCGGCATTGCCATTTGCGCGTGCTGGGTGAACAGCTGGTGGCTGGGAAAATTCCACTGGATGACGTCGTCAGCCATGGGTTGCCTCGCGCGCTTCAAACGAGGCCCCGCTAATGTGAACCAGAAAGGGGGGGGAGGATATTTGAAAACTAAACGGTGGCGTTGATTACTTGCCTTTTAGTTACATTACAATAGAAGTAGTCATTTTTATTTGCTTAATAAAATTGCATGAGAGAAGGATAGAAACACATGGCATTGTGTTTGCGTTATGAAAGCCTATTCCCCCCTCTTGGGAAAGCGCACACTTGGACTTGTCCTGCTTGCTCTGTTTCGAAAAGTGAGGCAGCAAGATTGTTATTATAGAGTATGGTACATATTATTTAGTCCAGTCTGGGAAGATACTCCTGTTTTTACATTGTTATCGTTCTCGCAGGCTTAGGTAAAGGACCGCCGTCGTCGTAAGACGTAGTGAATGGTACTTTTTGTTTTCTTTTGAAAAACGGGGTAATAAAGTTGTTTTTGTTGTCGTTCGTTATTTTGGTTAGCTTTTGTTTTTCTTTTGCTGATTTTGTGCAAGGGTAAAATAAAACAAAATAATGTGTCAGGCGAGGAACACACCGTCACTGTGCCTTGGTAAAACAAAAAAAAATGGGTTGACACCACTCAGATTGAGTGACTGCGCAACACTTCTATCGCAGGTTCATGTTGATGTCCATTGTTATAGACTCACCGCCCATCACACTATAATTTTCATGAGTTGTGGGCGGGGTTTATTACAGGTTATATATAACGGACCACACGCTACCCTCACCAGCTGCTGAAAATTTATTGTTACTGATTGGTCAATTTGAGTAAACAGTGGGAGAGTCCAAAGCAAAGTTATCAGTTCATTCATTGGAGGGACTATTTATATAGCGACAGGTGAATGGATAAAATGACGGCTCGTCCACTACTTCAGGGGCCAATACATAATAAATGATAAATTTATGACAAAGCGTTGAGCGATGAGAAATCTGCATGGCCATCGAAGACAGAAGAGGTATTTTTGGTTGTTGGTTGACAAAATATGGTGGTGGCGGCTATGTTTCACAGGTGATCGTTTTACGCAGTGAAATTATATACAAAAAATGGAAGGGGGTAGTGGAGAGTGGCCGTTTGTACACTAGTGGCGGTCATGGCAGGTTTGACTGTACTTTGACTAAACTTGAAATTGAACTGTGGTGGACGTTGTACCTTCTTTTCATTAAGTTCAGCACTGACCATAAAGTGAGTATGTATTGTTCAAATTTCAAGAAATTATTGCTGCACTTTTGTACTTTTCCATCACACATTAACAGTGTTGATTCCTGAGAGTAAGCTTGCCAAGACTACGAGAACTGCATAAAAGGCTACTACCATTCAACATTTGCAAATAATATTTGTTTTCACAGCTATTGAAAGCATGGCAGAGCCGCTGAGAGCCATTTGAATGCCATGTGATCTTTATTTTTACTGTGTGGGTGTTTTTCCGGCTCATTCTTCTCAAACTGTCATGGAAACAGAGCATTAAATTATTATCATGTTACAGTTACACTGGGGTAACAACAATACTTTGTCTTTGATGATTATGAAACAAAGAGCGGAAATCGAACCAACACACGAGTTACAGTACATGCTTGTCTAAAAAGTATCCACTATTCAATATTGGCAAGTCGAATGATGAATCAAAAGTACTGAGGACGGCTTTACCAGAAATTAATCGTAGGCAGGTCTAATGAGCTCCTATTCTGAGGGAAAAAAAACCCACTCACACATGCAGTACAGTGGAAACCATATATAACAGGCCCAGTAATAACAGGGATCCGGTAATAACAGGGATTTTTTAAATCCCCGTTTTTTCCTACTCTGTCTCTATTAAAAGTTATCAGCAATAACAGAGCCCAATCGGTTATAGCAGGGACAAAGACTCTTTAACAATGTGTAAAAAGTAAGAGAGAGAGAGAGAGATAGAGTAACGCAGTGATGAAGCAAGCCATGCTACTGCAAGCACACACAGCAGGTGAAGCGAGAGAATGGTGTGGCGTGCTGCAGACTTCGGTATAGCCCTAAGCCTAGCTACACGCGTGCGCAATGGATCATGTGCATGCCTGCCACTTGGCCAAAACCCCTGTTTGAGGGTACTTGTGGCCAAGGAAAGTACCCATGAATAAATACAGCTTGATTAGTCCACAAATGCTTACTTCCCTTGCATTTCTGATTTAACAGGGATCTGATATAACAGGACTTTTTCTCTGGTCCCATCATCCGTGTTATATCAGATGTCCTCTTTATTAGCATTCACTGGAACAGTTAGCACAAACAACGACTTCACCCTTTGATGTGGAAGTGAAAGTGTTGATGGAGTTTTGTTTCCTCAAAATTGCACAGCACTAATTTTTAAGCTTAGACTCACTCTCAATTCCGTCACAACAGGTCTCTGGAGTCTCTGCCTAAAAGTTTGGAAATGAATTCCTAACAGTCCTTATTATTTCTGTTCTGTACTCTATATAAAGTAATTAAACAGTTGTAAGTGTCCGACTCACAAAATAAAACCATGCTTACCCCCCGGGGCAGTGCCACTGACTGTAGTGTCTTTAGGTCATTCTCAAAGGGGGGACATTTCTCGTTCAAGCATAGTAGAATTGTCAATGGGCTGACTCATGTCATGCTCATAACTATGCCTGATCTACAACAGGGAACTACTGCTTTTTCTTTCCTGATCCTTACTATTGTCATTTTCCTCTACTTCTTTTGTATGTTTGTCACTCTCTTTTGACCAGCTATTTCCGGGGTGCCTTGATAGTCGAAGCAGACCTTGTGCTGTTGAAGCTAGAGAGGTGAGCAGTCTAAGCCTGATTCCCTCTAAAGATTTCTCTGTTGACACCCTCCCCTTGGCGCTCATATGACCTTATGCAGTTGCGAGCCCTGTAAAACCCTCTACTAAAAACCAAAAAAAAAAATATATATATACCATGCATTGCTATGAACTGACATGATGAAAACAACCAGCTTGTGTCCAGGCGTTCATATGACTTTATGCAGTTGTGAGTTCTGTATGTCTTTGTGAAGTCTATATTTCAGTATATTTTATAAGATAACTTATAATACATAGTTCAAAGTAATCTAACTCACTGTCGATGCTGTCAGAGGTGAGTGAGCTTCTTGAATGAAAATAAAGCTTTAAAGGATTTTAATGTTTTCTTAAGATTAAGCTTATAATCTATATTTTGTTTTTTCAGATTCAAAGAGATCATATCATCGACGCCAAAAAGGGTTTCTCAGGGAAATGTACAAGAAGAGAATTGATATTGGACCAGACAAACCTCGAAGACGCTCAGAGTGGATCAACTGGTATACTATTTCCCTTTAAAAAATTCAAATTTTGCTGTGCAAAACAATGGAATGAGTCTTCTCATACTTATTAATTTCAAGTTGGATGTTTTCCATTTTGAAGCATTTTCCTTCTCTTGTAGTCGTGAGAAAGATACCAAAAAATGTTTGCCTTTTTGCTGCAAATGCAGAACTTGTGTCCACTGACATCTACAATATGAAGTGAACCATTTTTTCAGTAGTCAACGTTTGAAATGTAATCAACAGTGATGCATTGTCATTTACAGAGTTGGCTTGCACTATTTAAATGCGCTTCTTGATGCAGTTGGTAGTGAAAATGCTTTTATGGGAAATCTGTTGCAAGAATTGATTGAATTTTGCAAATCCTATAATTCTGGTGATGCAGACCTTCGTGTCTCTTTTGAATAAGCCTTTTTTGTGTTAATTGTTTCACTAAACTCATCTTTTTTCATCAGGAACTATGACTGTGAAATTTTCTCCTTTGGGCAGCGTCTGGGAGAGAACTTTGATGAAGGCTCACTACGTCAAGCATTTGTCCACAGGTTTGTTGTCAGGTTCTTGTGTATAAGTAGTTCAAGTCAAATTGAGTCGATAGTGCCATAAAACACCTACTCAATCAATCAATCACGTAGTTCAAGTCTCAGCTGATGTCAAATAAGCTTCTCCGTTTAGTTTTGAATGGATGCAATGTGCATTTGATAAATGGCTTGCCTTACAGTCTTTTGTGTTAGGGACATGATACAATACTGCACATGAAAGATTAATTTTTCTGTTTTATCAGGAGTCATGCTCCTCTGTAACTTTCAAATATTTACATTTATGTGACTAATGAAACTTGACTGTCAAAGTCAAAGCACATTTTCTGAAATGTGTTTGTTTAAATTTAGCTCATGACGTCTATGCTGTATTTTTTTTCTTTGTGATCACATTACAAATTTGTTGGCTTTTACCACAGGTCTTACGTGGAACAGGAAAAGGAGAAGAGAGCGGAACTTGGCATTGACCTAGAATCAGTACCACTTGAGTTAGATGACAACTCTGATTTAGCCAACAGTGGTAAGTATCTGCTCTTTGATGGGGATAAATATTTCAGGAAATAGAACATGGTATTGGTTATTATATGTATTTTTCATACTTTTTCATTAATATACTGTTTACATATTACTACAATGTGTGTAATTCTGCCTTGTCAGTTCTTGTGGAATGTGGTAACACTAGGAAGCTGATAAGGAAATAAAAGATTCCGGAGAAGAGGTTTGATTAAAGCATCACATATTCAGCTTGATTTGGGGATCTGTTGTCCTGTCAAAATTTTAATTTTGCTTCTTTCCATGTAATTTTTCATTGAACATCCTCTTATTATTTGCTATGATTTTTAAGCAGAATCAGAGGCTTGTGTTGTATGCTTTGCTAAGTTATGTACACTTTTTACAAGGGCATATTTTGCTTTTATCGAGTCAGTCTTTTTTTGATGATTATTTGTTTTGCTCTTATATCTTGTAATTGTTGCTCCCTGACTCAACCCCCCAGTTTTTAATTCTGTACAGCTTGGTTTTTGTTTGATTTCTTTCAGTATTCTTGTGAAGCTTTGAAACTTCACCGTCCACTTTTATCCGTAGTTCCATTAGGCTGGTGTAATGCTCTGTGCCTATGAAGGAGACCTATCAGTTTGTTTGTCTTTAATTGTTCGAGTACTCAAAAAGAGGTTAATATGCTCAACTTTGTTGTGTTTTTTTGTGTTGCAGGAGATAAACTTATGAAGGATTATTTGAAAGTGTATCTGAGGAATATCTACCCGTATATGTTTGAAGAGTGTATCAGGTAATATGTCTTTCTTATATTTATTACTGTGAGGTCTTAATTATATCACACAAATTTTGTTCGTCTCTTGTTTAACCATAAAATAATGACAGTGCTCTTTGAATAAATCTTGCTCAGAATACTTTATATGTTCAGTACTTGTAATTGTCAGCTCACTTGAAATGTATTGACTCATGGAGTTTTTCCATTAGATTTATAGCGATAGTTTTGAATTGATAAAAAAAAACCCAACCTAACCAGAATTGTTTATAGGACTTCAAGAATTTGCATATTTTTGTCAACGACCGAGACAACTTTCTCGCTGCGAGGTGAATAAAGATTGTCATTATCATTGTCATCTCTTGTGTTCTGATATCCCTGATCCTAACTTCCACTGTGCGGGATGATAAACCCAACTCACCTATAAGAAGGGGGGGGGGGGGGGGGGGTGTTGAAAAATTGTGTCTTTTAAGAATTTATTGGAAGTTTGTGTTTAGCTTTCCCAAAGAAAAAATTGTTATTATTTTTTTTTAAAGGAGAATTTGAAGCTGTTGATTTATTTGAGAGGAAGAACATGTCAAATAAATTAAATGTGAATTTTGTCTCTTCTCAGCTCTGTTTGTGATCATCTGATGATGGATGAAACCCTTTCTCACATCGCTTCCCACTTGGGTTGTGAGGATCTCATTCTGTGTCAGGTGAGCTAACCAGAGGCACTATGATCTGCCCACCTTATTGAGCTTTGTAAAGGAATATCATTTTGGGCCATGCTGGTAAAAGAAGCTTTGTATAACAAAAAATGTTCTACAGAGAAAAGAAGTTTTTGCCATCGGAATCTGTTATCCTGTACGTCGCATTCAATGTAAGATTCTTGTGCGTCACCAGACGCGGACGGCAATGACTACTTTCATTTTTCTCTTTCCACTGTTGCTTCCGCTGTTCTGGGTAAGGGGAAGTCACTCGAGAAAACAATTATATCCGGGCACTGTTGATGATCCGTTCAAAACAAAAGTGGGCTAAAATTCGGACTTTTGGTATGTCGCAAAGTGACAACGATCACGGCGAATGTTAAACAGCTGACCGAAATCATAGATATAGGAACCCGATGTTCCTTTCGCTCATCACAGCTTTTGATGTATTGAATATACGACGAAAAGCAAAAAGATTTAACCAGCTATGGTGATTCTACTGAAAAATAATGGTGTTTTCTTAAACACCTAGTCCATGATGACACGACGAACGCGCAAGTGATCCGAATTATTCATTTATTTGCAAACAAATAAACCGATTTCTTGAGCAAGTGAACCTTTCTCAATGACAAATAGCATAGGATCAAAGCACACGTTAGAAAAAAACCCACCCCAAAATACTAAATTTTGGACATTCTTGGAAGTTTGCAATGGTGTGCTCAAAATGACAGTCCAGGAATCACTAAAAGAATTTTTTGGGCACAAAATTTACAAACTTAAGATTGTAAAGCTGACACGCGGTCTGAAACTGCTAATGCAGGTTCTACATCCTATATTTGACATGTGTATAAGTTTTGGAGGAATAAATACTAATGCATCACATTTTATGCACACTAATGTGAGATGTATGTGTTTTTCTCTACGTTTTGGCAATGGCTCACATAGAGTTTGGAGGGATATACATTTTATTAAAAATTTAAAAATTGATTTTTGTGGGACTGACTATGCTGTTATTCTTTCACTTCTTCTTCTTTTGGGCTTTTACTTTTCAAGTTTACTACTGTTGGGTGTGCGGTTAGTTGGAGGGCAATGCACCCCTGGTTGGTCCTACTTTTTTTACTTTCTGTCTGTTGTTTTAACCTTGCTCTTTCCAAGAAGAAAATGATCATTAATTGTATTTATGTGCTCGTTTTTAGTCAGGCTCAAATGGTGGGTTTTTACAAATGCATTCGTTCTTCTTACCTAGGATTTCCCTGTTCAACCCTCTGTGTTGAGTGTGACGTTCAAAGCTGTCGTTGGTGCACTGGAACAAGCTCAGGTGAGACTTTGCGCTTTGTTACCATTAAGCTATTGGAGCTGCAGGAGGATGGATCACTTGAGAAAATGACAAAAAGATGGTGTTAACTCATTCGCTACGTATTATTTTCGGCTTGTGGACGAATTCTTTTCGGGAGGGCGAAATGAGATGATGACTGGTGCGCAGTTCACAGGTCTTTGGGGCCATAAATTCAAATAAATATCAACATATTATGTACCAACATTTTCAGTATGGTTTGTAGAATACACCTGCATTATTTATTTGCGTATTTTTCAACTTTGGTTCCTGTAAGAGGCGATTATGCAACACAATTGTGATTGGATGCGGATAAAATTGGAAAATAAAAAAATTTATAATCTCAGGTGAAACTAAAAAAACATGTTTGCACCTAGTCAAATGATACCTCAAAATAACCATAACTGTATATAGAACAGGAAAATATTGAAAAATGTGCAGTTATTTTCATACATTCCATAATATTTGTACATTTGGATCATAACATCCGATATTGAAAAAAAAAAAAAATTTAAAATAATTTTGAAAAAAAGGATCACAAACAGAAAAAAATATGCGTAACTTATATGGAATTATTCAGAATTGCACATGGAATAAACCTATACATGTCTTGAGTGGTACTTTTTGATTAATTTCACCCAAAAGTAGTGATTTTGGGTAGAAAAAAATATTTTGACTATTTAGATCTAGGCCTAGATTTAGCACTCAAAAATATTGATTTCTCAATTACAGTGCACTGGCAATTTGCGTCCAATAGTATCAATATTATAAAGAAGAGTCCTACACTTCTTTAGTGAGCAAAATAATTATACATTTTGTTGTGTAAAAGTACTAAGACTGGTGTCTGGGCTATAATTTGGGCTTCGCGATAAAACAAAGTCGAAAAAACTACGAAATCATGTTTCAAAACTGAATCAAAACTTCCGATTTTCGGTGGAAACGCTTGACCCGGAAGTCAACATTATATTATGAACTTTATTTTAACATGGATAAGTGGATTGGAATAGAAACCAAGCTAAAATTGATCGTCGGTTCTCGAGCCGCCGGGGGCGGCTTAACGTACTGACGGCACTTGAGCCGCGCCGCCCCCCACGGCTCGGCGTAGCGAATGAGTTAAAAAGCCTTAACACAAAAAATTTACAACACGCTCACACACAGTGACTGTCACCCTGGAAATTACAATGCACAAGCATACATGGCAACATGAAAACACGTTTTGTTAATAATTTGTTGGAAAGTTCGCCCAACTAACATAAAAATATCCCAGCTGGAACCGTGGGCATGACCTTAAGCAGTTGCAAGCGCCATTAAAAACTCCAACAAACAAAACAAAGGGTTGCTTCATGTAGGAATACCACCAGCCTAATATAGAAATTTTAAATATTCTACGGTGAAGTGAATAATAGCTGTGGTTCCAGCCAACCATGCTTTGCTATGAAGGGCAGGAGTGTCTTATAAATATGCGAAGGATGTGACTCTATAGTTTGGGTTCAGGTCTATGCTCTATTACCTATAAATTGGATATATAGAGTGTTTTCTGGTTTCATTTCTTTAGTATGAAAGTTAGCAGTTCTTTTCTTAGAAGACTTTACATAATTTGTGCTTAGTCTTTCTTTTTTTTTTTCTTAATGCTTTGCAGTCTAGTTTTTCAAGTTCATAATGAACAAAATTGAGAACATTTTTTTCCTCCAGTTCAATGGAAAGTACTTTCTATGCTGTGTAACTTTTGTTTTTAAAAAGGGATGAGATGTACTGCAGGTAGAAAAGGGTTAGCAATTTAAAGACGATTGAAATGGTCACTGTCTGTGAAAAATACATTTCCAAAGATACCATGATGCTTCCACGTCCAGTAAACACCATGAGAAGTGAAACTAGAGTGACAATTTCTTTTTTTGTATAAAGATGATACTGATAAATGAATGCAAAAACACATGCACATTGTGGTAAGCAGTTCAGAAGTTAATATTTTGATTTTTCATTATCTGTGACTATCGGTATGAAATTAATCAAAATGTGTTGACACTTTTGGTTTGTCGCAAAAGTAGTGAACGTGACAGTATTAAAATGGTTAAACTTTCTTTAAAATAATTGTCTTTATTTATAATCCCGTCATACTTCCAAGAGGGACAAAAATTTAGTTCCTATCTGTCTGGCATGATGACAACAGCTGCACCATTGTCATTTGACTGTCTACCTTTTAGCACCAACGTGTTAACAACAGACTTGTGATTGTCCAATGTTCCTTTGTCTAATGTTAGGGCAAGGAAAGAGCCGAGGCATTTGTTCGAGACTTTGTCCTTCCTCAACTGATCGGCAAAGACCTGAACGAGATGTGGCCTCTCCACAATCCCATGGGGCTCCTGGTGGCTCTTTTGTCTCTCACTGGCCGAGGGCAGCCGGAACCCAGGTGAGGATCTAAGGAATGGAAAGGGTCTGGAATGTGCTTTTCCCCTTCATACTTCATGTAGGGGTTCTGGGTTCATATGTCTATCTGGAGTGTGTTGTTAGCTCAGTGGTATCAGATTAGTTATGTGAGTTGACGACTTTGGTATGAATCCATGATTGGGAATACTTGAAATTAAGTTGTGTTCTGGGATCATTCTACATCAGAGGTGCTTTGTCAGTTCAGTTGACATCTTACTGGCCTTTTAGTGTGAACGACCTTGGTTTAGATACCCCAATTGAGAATTTGAAATGTTGGAAGCTTTTGAGGTTCTCTACCTACCTTAATCAGTCAAGCTGGAGACGTATGTTAAGTCAGGAGGTACCACATAGGATAGGAAAACCTGTTGTGATAGAGAGTGTTTTGTAATTTTCCATTCTAAAAGCAGACCTACCTTGATTTTGAGTGTGTGTGTGTGTGGGGGGGGGGGGGGGGGGTTGTCATGTGCAAAGAAAAATGAAAAAAAGCATAGCATGCTATGGGCCTTCATTTTTGCTGTACTTTATAAAAAGAAAATTACGATGTGTCTTGTATTCCCAAACCACCATACCTTTAATACTGTCATATAATCTTCATATATGTGAGCAGTGTAGCTTTTTATTATTTCCTTTGCTTTAGTTCTTTTGTTTTTCAAATTTTTTGTTTAGTTGATTTGATAAGATATGAATTGTGTGATTATACTGTTGCTTCTCACAAAATCTTTGCATGTATGAAATATACATCAGAATTTACGAAAATAGTAATTAAACTCTAGGAGGGCTCAATTGATAGTTCATGCTTCTTTTCTTTCCCTGTGTTCTTCTGCCTGTCCTTGATAACACTTCATGGCTTTTATTATGTCTATGTGCTTCTCATTACTTAAAATCAATCACTTTGACTCCATAGATTACAGCAGTTAGTGGTTTGGGCGTGTTCTGGTGTGGCTTGCTCCTTCTTTCCTATCAAACATCTATCATCCTTGTCTCTCCTTCTTTTTTTTACTTGTTACTCTCTTGTAACACCTCTTATCTTCTGCACTTAATAAATTATTGTGTTGCAAGTGCCGTAAAAAAAAACTCTAACAAAAAAAGTGATGTATATATGTGTCACGACGTGGTGGAATCAGGCTCTCGTCAATTTTTGTGTATATGGTGTTATTGGTATTATCTTTAAGCCTGTTCATTTGTCTTCCTTTTATGAAAAAATATCCCTTTATGTAAGTCGAAATATTTGCCATTGAAAGAGGTCAGGGTGGCCTGGTTTCAGAGGTAACAATAGCGAGAAAATGGCCTCCAAAGTTTGGTAACTTCCATAGCCTGAGAGTCCTTGAAAACTGAAAATTTGCTTTTTTTTCCGGGCCTTTAATCAAGGTTTTTCTGTAAAATCCACACAAAAATGTGTTCTTAAATGGACATAAAAGGTGTTGAGCCAAAAAAGGAAAATTAGAAAAAAATTGCACATTGGCCAAAAAAATAACTATTTCTTTGATTTCATTGTTTTGATGAGCGCCTGATGTCCCCATGATGTCTCACATTTATATTACTGCAGCATAATGAGAATGTTTCTTTTTCATCTTTTCAGGTTGTTATGGAAGTCTGGCAGTAACACAATGATGTCTCTATACTGGGTGGGGATTTACAGCAACAAACAACTCATCTCTAAAGGTAGATCATTTTCTCTCTTCTCCTAATTTCTTATGTATGGGCTTCCGAGGGAAGTGAGGGGCACAAAAAATTCAGAACTCTCACTGCCATAGTATTGTCCAGATCAGTGGAATGTCCAATAGCACAGGTAGGGGGCTGAATAGGAAGGGATGCTCAACTGATTGTGTTTGTAGGTGAGTGTGTGTATGAGCGTATGTGTGTGAGAGTGTGAGCATGTATGTGTGTTTGAGAGTGTCTGTGTGCATATTTGTGTTTGTGATTTGGGAATAGGAGTAGGGAAGTGGCTTATAGATATTGATATGTGGGGTCGATGGATTAAAAGAATAGAAAAGATAGACCCCGCACATAAATATTAACCCCTTCATCGCCAGGAGGTATGGGTTCTTTCCATCAGCACTTATTTTCAGCGTAGCTTATTACCCTGGACTGCAGCTTGATGTTTCAGTGTTCATGGACTCCCTGTCTAGATCTAGCTCATTCATGACATATGACATATTCGGATCCCAGGTCTTTGGTAGCACCTGTATCTTTTCGTAATTCCCTATATTCCCTATCTTACCCATAATTTAAAACAACCCCTGCAAATGTAAGTCAAAAAGAAATCTGTTGTCTTTTAAAAGTTTTTTTGTTTTTTTTTCATTTTTGCGAGAGAACGTGTTCATCTGCAAGACTACACTTGTGTTTATTGATTGCTTGTAAGCTTAGCAGTAAACAAACATAAGCAAATTTGTACTGATATGCACACGTTTTATTCTCAAATATGAATCCATGCAGTGCTTGTGGCTAAATCTCCCTATGGAAGAATTAGAGCCAGACTGAAGTGTCTTTAGGCCATTCCCAAAGGGGGAACATTAACATGTTCTTATGCACAGTGTAAATGGGCCGATTTATCAATGTCATGCTCATAACTGTTCCTGAACTGCAACAGGGAACTGCTGCTTTTTCTTTCCTTATCTTTGCTGTCGTCATTTTGCCTCTACTTCTTTTATTTGTTTGTCACACTCTTGTGACCGTCTATTTCCGGGATGCCTTGATAGTCAAAGCAGACTTTGTGCTGTTGAAGCTTGAGAGGTGAGCAGAGCAAGCCTGATTCCCTGTAAAGACTTCTCTGTTGACATCCACCCCTTGGCGTAGTGGGATTATGAAAATATTACTATAATGAAGGAAAGGGCTTGTAGGTCAGTGTTTTCTACGAAGAATCATTGAGTCGGCTTTTGTTTTGTCTTTCACAGCCCCAGGGGAAACAGTTCTCATCGCTGAGGAGATGGCGGCCAGGGAGGCCGTCAAGAAAGTGATGAGAACGGAGGACAACCGGCCACCGCTGGTTTTGGGAACAGTCGCCGAGAGGTTGGAGTTAGATCGCGACCGAGTGAACGCCAGTGCGGAAGATATAGTGAGGAGACATTACGAACAGTCGTCTGGTCAGTCTGACTCCATCACGTCGTCGTGATAGCCTGGAGCGGAGAAGGATAAGGTCGTGGGAGTTTTTGTGACATGATTGTGTTTGTCTTACCTGTAGCCTGTTCTAGTCTAGGGTTTTTTTGGGGGTAGGGGGGGAATTTTGTTTTGTTTTCTTCCTGGGAGGAACACTTGTGATATTACTGTGTTTGTGTGAACTAGAACATGTCCTAGTTATTTTTTTTTAAAAATAATTAAAACATTTGGGGTGGGGGGGGGGGGTGG